ATTTATTCATTTTACATTGAGAGATAGAACACAGACCAGAATATCTATATTGGTATGATCACTGAAAAAATATTTTTGTCTTCTCTCTGCTTTATTTACTTTCATAACAATTCAATGCTTAGTTTACACTAAATTCAGAGGATGCTGGTGCTAAAAAGTAAAAAATAAAGTAAATAAATAAATAAATCCTCTGACCTTACAGGGATAAGGAGACAGAACAACTATTGGGTTGTCAGGAATATTATGATGTATTTTTCTGTTTTTCTATGCAAAAATATGTCATGACTTTTCCAACCACCCAATAATAATGCAATTTTTGTTTGAAATAAAATCATGGGAAGTGTTGTAATAGAGGACCACAGTTGCCAAATGAATGCTTGACAGGAGGATGACTTGATCTGTTCTAGAAGGGGGATACTTTTTAGGGAATGCTTTCTTGGGGAAGTGGTATTTGGGTTGAGCTCCAGAATTTCTGAACAGAAGAGGTTTAGGGATGGCTATCTGGTTGGAATCAAAGCTTGGGAAACTTGTTGTATTGAAGTTGTGTTGCACAGTAAGCCCACTTTTCTTCTTAATTTATACTGTATGTTTATTTATGGTGGCTCTTTTTGGAGGACTGCCTCTTGATATATTGTACAGATGGGTGAGTAGGAATTAAGTTTGTGAAAGTGTGAAGTGGAAAAAAGCACATGCTCAGTGGCCACAAGGTAGAACTGAGTCCAGGTCATTAAGGCCTGTGTGGTTGGAGAGCTGAGCAAGGGAGTGAGGCACAGACAAGATTGATGAAAATAGTGGAGGCCAGGTCACACAGGGCACAGTTAAGGAACATGCAAGCCACCTTAAGATGGTACTGTTGGTGGGGTTAAAGATCCTGCAGAGAATGAAACTTCATTGACAGGTATCAAGAGGGTACAAACTGACCACAACTGAAATTTTAGGAGTCACTCTAGCCAATATTTAAGAATGAACTGCAGCAAAGGTAAATGCCAGAGACCAGTTAGAATTCTGTTTCACTAGTTCTATAGAGAAAAGATGCTAGCTAAGGCTAGGGTGCTTGTCATGGCGATTGAGAGAAATAGACAAGTGTGAAATATATTTACACAAATGAGTAAACCAACATTATAGAGTGTTGACTTAATTTGTCAAGGGGATCTGGAACACTCACAGAAGAAATGACATAACTTTAATCTTAAGGTTGAGAAGAAATTTTCTTATAGCAATGTAGTTCAGCACTTAGATTCTATTGTTAAAATATGTAAATTATAAATGATTATTACCTTTTACGAGTGTTCCTTTCAGAATCTCTAACAAATGTCACATCATTAGTATTCTGATTTCTATGGTAGTGTCACTAAGTGCATTAGAACATAATAAATCCACATTTCCTAAAAATCATTTTATAATTTAGCTGCATCACTATTCCATATTAACTTCTTCCCCTAAACACCCACCCAAATCCAAGTATCTTAGTAAGAGTTTGAGACATTGTAAAACTTTCAAAAATGTTTTATTTATTCATCTGTCCAGGTTAAATCTCTGTATCTATTAGGCACACCAAATTCCTTCCTATTTTTATCTCATAGGCCTTATGACTAAATTAGTTTAAGTATTTTGGAGATAACTTTAGAGTCTAAAATACTTTAAATATTATTATCTTACTTCGAAAGGTAAAAGTACTTGGATTCGAAGGTTGTCTAGGTTGAAATTTTTAGACATAAAAGACATTAATGTGTTAGAATTTATAAAATCTAGTTTTTGCAATCACAAAAATTATATACACTTTTCATGTAATGAGAAATTATATCTAGTACATTGCAGCACTTATGATTATTTAACATATTTCTTGGGGCCACTAGAGGACTTTCTACTACCCAGTCATCCTTTAGCAAGCATTTAGTTCTTCTTTCGTAATTAATATTTTCATTTCCCTTTTGTATGCAGTGCCTGAAGGAAATTTTATCTGGAAAAATATTCTGCGTAGTGTTTTAGTACAGTACGATTTATTTAGTGATTCATGTTTGCTTTTTGTTTTGTATTAAACAAATCAAGCCAGGATGTTGGTTTTAAGTCCTTCCTTTAAAACTAGTGGTTATTCTATGGAGTCTGTGCCAGGTCAAAGAGAGTTCAGTAAGATATATCTCACGTAGGCATTGCCCTGTGCACCAGCTGCCCATGTTAAATCACTATGATAAGTAGGATGTGTACTTGTGCATTGCTAATTCTTATTTGGCCCAAATTTTATGTCATCTCATGGTCATTACAATTGTCCAATTACAGTTGATCAAATTGAATTATTGTTAATTAAGTGAGTCTGTTTCATAGTACAGAGGGCTAGTTGGGCATATTTATCTGTTTAACTGGTTGTCCTCAGATTTAGATGACCAAATGTCATGTTCAAAAGGAAAACTCTTTGTGGGGAGGGAAATACAGGAGACTAGAATTGCTTTTTGTGTACTAAAGTGAAATAATAATTTCAATGTTCTTATAATAGGCTTAAGAAAATTTGCTATGGTCTTAAAGATCTTTGAGAAAAGTAACATTAGGTATGTAATGTATGATATTTATTTACATACAAAGAAATGGCATACCGAAGTGATCAGAACAGAAATCCTCTGACCCTTATGAGTGGAGGAAATAGCTTATTGTGAATAACCCATACATAATAGGTTTAGGTCCATGTGAAGATTTATAGTATCTTGACTAGTGCCCAGACAGGAAATTTTTTGTCTTGTTGCAAGCTGCACACACCATTAGAAAATTGTGATGAATGCAAACTGACTGACATCTATGCAGATTGATTCTCATACTGGAGAGGCAAATGGGTGAGAACAGGACATGTGTTCCCTAAAAAAGCCAGTGGGCCTTTGAGCAATGATATCTGCCTGAAAAACTGAAGAAGCATCTATGCTTAGATAACATTGGAGAGAGCTAAACTTATCACTTCCTGACATTCTCATTTGGGAGCGATGGCATTACCATATCATATCAAGTCCTATTGTATAGCCATGTATCATGGTGACACCAGGCAGGTCCGAAGTTCTCATCAGCTCGATTTGACTCAAAACTTCTTCCAGACATTCTCTCCTTGATCCAAAATAAAGATACAGACAGGCAGACAGAGATAGAGAGAGAGAGAGAGAGAGAGAGAGAGAAATTCCTGCCTTTTTCTCATTGAGTACCATTTGGAGTCTATTTGCCTCAATTTTACTGGCTTTGGGTATTTACTTCTTTACTTCTTGATTTTATTTTCTTTTAATAGGAAAGATCGTTCATGTCACTATTATTTCTGCCCAACAGTTAAAGTATTAATATTTTTTTCACAAATTTTCTTAACAAGAACACCTCAAAACCATCACAATTAAACTTAAAGCAATAGTTCATATTTCTGGACCATTACAGAATTAAATATTGTTACACAAAGTTTTAATCAACTCCTTCATTCCTCTATTCTTTCCTTCCATTTATATATTCACCCAGCCACCTGTTCTTCCCTCCAAAAACTAGAAAAAGTCTTTAATACTGTTGTGTGTGGGACAGTAATGTGTTAGGTGCTTGGGGGAAAATGGTCAATAACATAGACCAGGGCCTGGCCTTTAAACTTGCATATGTGAGTCATTACTTTTCAACAAAGATATGTTTGAAACCTTCAGTGCCAGGCACAGTACTTTCAACAGCCTCTAGTGCAGAATTTGGAAAAGGATACTTTAGTGGAAATAAATGGAAGAGAAGATCCTTTCCTTCCCTTTCAGAATTTTTAAATTTAACAACAACTTATCCAAGGTTCCTTGTATTGAAATAAAGAACATGCTATGGTCCTGGCTCTTGCCAGCCCAGAAGAAATGAGGTCTGCACTACTCCAGAACCTGGTCAGTCCTCTGAGAAGGTAGCTTTGATGGCTCTTGACGATCAAGAGAGAAATTAATTATATCACCTTTGTTTGGTCTTGCCTAGCTGATGACTTGATTCCCAGTCAAACCAAAAATTATTTCCTTAGGACCGCATGATAAGGATAGATGTTTTGGCAATAGATATGGAAAGTTTCAAGCAGACCAAAAATTCTGTGTTACAATTAGCCTTTTTCTTTACTGAAAACCCTATGTATGGGTTCAGTAAGCAGTCTAAAACGTACAAACAATGATGTCCTCTTCAAAAGGCAATTGCTCTAAACTGCATAAATTCCACTCAAGTTTTCCAGTGACAGAAGTAGGAATTTATGTCTTTGGATACCAAAATACTATATGGCAGAGTCAAATGCATCTTTCACTTTAAAATTTAGACTCTCTGTGGCAAATGTATTTGTTGTGGTAAAGTATTGGAAAGAAAAGCCACAGAATAATTTGGGGTAAGGAAAAAATACTCTTATAAGACAGCCCATCAGTTTTAAACCTTGAAAATTGCCCCTTTTTTTATAAAAAGAATTAATACTGGCTCATAGTATAAATGTATATGTTTGGATTATGATATATAATCATGATTTAAAACAAATTAAGCTTCCAAATTGTAAAAGACTCTACTATCATGCTGTGAATTCAGTAATTTAAAAAAATGAATTATTATTCTTTGGAGTTAATATCAATGCTTTTATTTAGTTACCTCATGATTTGGTCTAGGTCTTGGCAAAGACAAATGATTCCTGTAAATGCTGAAAATTCCTTTATGGGTTAACTTTCCCATCATTTAAAACTGCTTATGCTAACAATGTTTTCGCTTAGACACATCCCTTCTGGAAAGAAGGGTCCTGCTAATGTGATAAGGAGTTCTCTTTCCTGAGGTTTGTGTTTTGTGCCGGGATCAGCAAGGAGAGGAAAAAGCCAGAATGCCAAATTGCAAAGAGTATTCTTTACTGTGGGGCTCCATCCAAAAAGGGTTTGTAACACAGTGTACAGTCTTGTAGCCCAGCTGTGTGGAGCATTGATTGCTTCTGCCTAGAGCAGGGAGACTGTCAAGTTGCTCTGTGAGTTGAGTCATCTATTGACAAAGAGCTACCAGCCCGCAGATAATGCTGTGCGGAGCTGCTCTCGCTGCTCCCACAGCTCCCACGATGCACTGCTTATAGCAGCTGTCAAAGACACTGAGGGATCCACGGGGGAAAAAAGACTTTTACAACTGCCTGGAAGAAAGGGGTGTGAGGGAGGAGACATTTCTGTGCAGAGCTGACCAAAGGAAAGGGTAGGCACCAGTGCAGTATGAATGCATACCTCACCAAGCAACACAGCTGCAGCCGGGGGTCCGATGGGATGGATGCCGGCAGGAGCGCGCCCACACTGATCAGGGATGCCCACTGCGCTTGTGGCTGGCAGAGGAACCCTCAGGGGCTCGGGTACAGTTCTCAGACCATGCCCTCCTCAGGACCTGGGGGCCCAGCCTCAAACAGGACCAAGCTGGTCACCTTGTGGGACAGTGTGCGGAAAAGCCCCCACAAGACGGGCACCAAGGGCAAAGGGACTTGTGGGGAGCATTGCGCCTGCCCACATGGCTGGTACAGCCCAGCACAGGTGAGCTTTTTCCTTGTAACTTTCCCTTGAGTATCGGAAGGAAGTGAGAGCAAGTTGTGTAAAGATGGAATGGTGTGGAAACTTTGCTGAGTCCTCCTTGCTGACTGGGAACGCCTGTTTAGAAAACGTTAGGTCAAGAAAACCTGTCGTTTTGACACGTGTTTGTGTGCTCATACCTCTGGCTGGCTTGTGAGAGTCTAGGGATGCTGCGGTCAGTTTCTTTCCGTGACTTCCTCCCAAGTTGGACTTCTCTAGTCCTCAGGTGATCTATGTTATTCTGTATCCCAATCTTTCAGCAGCCCTTTTACTTCTAATCATGGCTAACTTTTCTGTTCTGCTATGACTAGTTTTCTATTATTATTATTCATTTAAGGAATAGAGGAGAAAATTTATTTTAATTAAACACTTTTCATTTCTTTAAAAATAATACCTGTTTCTTCAGCTATAAAAAATAGTTGAAATATGCTATTCTCATTTTATTCTTATAATACTGTATGCCTCTTCAGCTTTGGAGGACCTTTGTTATTTACTAAACAATTAATTTTGCAAAAGAAAAAGGAATAAGTAGGAGCAAGATAGAGGATGATTACACTTAGAATAAAGTAAGAAAATATTCCACTTATTCATAGAGAAGCAATAAAGTTACTTATATTAAAAACGATAACTCTCTTTCACCTATAAGGGATTTCTGAAGCACATGTACAGATTTCTTTAATTTGATTCCTAGTTTGTTCTTGCCTCCAAACTACTAACATTTACCAGAAATGAAATTGGCTTATTTTATTCTGTCTCCATTCAAAAGGAGGAAAAACAACTTCCTGAAAATGCTGTAAAATATGAATATAGTGTACCTGTAATCACTCTCATAAATACAAAGCAATGACTGTCCTTAATTATTAATTGAGAGAAAGAGAAGCTGTGTTTGCAGAAAAAAAAAAAAACTTTCTCAGTTCCAATATGACTTTAGCAAAATTGAGAAAGGAATATTGATCATGAATAAAATGTTATGATCTGAGAGATGTAGAGAACATTTTCATTTTAATAATAGCTTTTAAAAAGTACTTCCAAGAATGCCGTCTATCACTGGCCCTTAATAATATAGTTACATATACATGAATATATTTATACATGACTTTTGATGCATCGACAGGCAAGTACAAGCTTTGCTTAGGGGTGAAGAGCATCTCAGCATCTTCATTTCAATTGGAAATATATTACCATTTTAGTATTAAACTTTTCAGCTTGAAATGAAGCATGGCATCTAGGAGTGCAGTTATTTTTTCAAAGTTAATGTGAATTCCAAAATAAACGGTCTTGACAGTTGCGAAGACCCTATATACTCTTTAACTTTCATTTAAATATCTTTAACCTCTTCTCTATACTGATTCTAGAGGATTATCAAAACTCATAAAGGATAGCAAGGCAAACTTACTCAATAGCATCTGACTTGGGTTTTTACATAGTATTAGAAAGGGCAGACTGGTTTAAAATATTGTTGCAATGATTTTTATCTAATATGTAATACTCTTTTCACTTCATGAATAATACTTTTCCAAACCAAAATACTTAAAACTATATTATAATAACCATACGAAACTCTAAAACTCTTGGTACATTTTTATCAAGTGAGGGGAACTTTTCCCTTCTTTGGTTTTTAACAGTCAGCCTCCTACTTGCTTGAATTTTATAGCCGTTTAATGCTTTGAAGGATTTAAATAGACTCTCTGTACTGATAATTAGAGATCTAGTGACATATGAGAAGGCAATGAATTGAGTCAGTCACCATCTCCCCTAACTCTTTTGCATATGTGTTCTATACATTTCCTCTTTTGTTCACATGTTCATTTTATTGACTGGGAAGAGTAGTGATCTCCTAATACGGAGCTATGATACTGTACTTTCCAGGGTGCACAATGTAATGACACTTCCCTCAGCTGACCTCCTACCTTTCCTTTCCTCTGTTGAGTAAACATGCTGTCTAGATTGATCACTCTTTCTTTGGTCCTTGCCTGTATCCTTAAAAATACATTATGTTGTATAATTTTTAACTTTCTCTTTACACACACACACACACACACACACACACACACACAGATTCTAATATATGTATTTAAATATTTCCATAATAACTAACTACTTGTATGTAATAACATACTTTCATGTATAAGTATGCGTATACATGCATATACATATGCACATATATAAATTAAAGTTCTATATTATTCCTGTTTCTTCACCTAGAAAATACTAATTTGTTCTGCCAAACAATGCTTCATTCTCTCTGTGTAAAATATTTTTCCAAATAAAATATATTTTCTCTACTTCTGATAGGTGTTCCAAAATACTGATATATACATATATATATATATGCATTCATTCATTCACATATAAATCTATAGCATCCACTAATATTGGAATTATGCATGTATGTGTAAGTACTGTACACCTATTTATACTATCACAAAAGCAAGTATGTGTTGTCTGTAGGCATATGTCTGTTAAACCTAGTCTGCTTTTAGAAATTTGCGATACAATTTTTCTACCTTAATTAACTGGAAGTATCCTGTGACATATTATAAAACTGTGGATGGAGGCGAATTATAGTAAACACTGGAATCCATGATAAAACAGAAGGGTAGTGTAGGTTTTAAAAGAGCCCAGGGACCCACATGTGGAACAGAACGTGCCTGAGGGTTGTTTAACGTCTGGGAGCTGGGATCTTGCCCTCAGAGATATTTGTTGTATTACGTGGATATCAGCAGTGTGATTTCCGGCTGCTATAATAGAGGGCCATGGTAGTGACTGAGTTCCTCCCAAGGCTCTTTGATACACTTTCATTATTTGGGTTGCTGTGTACTTACAGGACTCTGTCATTCCGTTGTTCCTTGACAGGTCTAAAAACAGCTTTTATCTCTTCTCAAATAAGTTTCATTTCATTTAAACCTTTAGAATTAATATAATCATAATAATAGGTAAGAAGATGTAAAATTACAGTGCTCAGAAGTGAGTTTTGGAACGTACATGCAGGATAAAAGTAGGCCTGAGAAAGAAACATGGCCATCATTGCTTATGTGGCTTCTCTCCACAGGTGCAGACTAATTAAGGGAGACAGCACAGAGCAGTGTGGCTCAGAGGCCAGAGTTCTGTGCATTTGCTCTTCATTCATTCTTTCTTCCCTTATTTATTCAATTATCACATACTGAGTGCTTACTATGTACCACTCCATCAGGTCCTATGACTATAAAGTGAAGTAGGTATCACCCGTACGCTATGGAGTTCACAGCCTACAGTGATATATAACACTTGATAAACAGATCATCTTTTATACACAATTATATCATGGTACAACTTGGACTGAAACGAGTTCTGGGAGTGTTGAGGATGACATAGTAAATGTATATTCACAGAGGATGCAGAGGGACCACAGAGGAGTAAGAGAGCAAGAGCCTTTTTTTTTTCCTTTAGAAAAGATACTGTATATTTTTTAAGCCTAGATTTTCTGTTTTATAAAACAGGAATAAAAATAATACCCACTTTATAGTGTTGGGATGAGAGATGCTCAATATTTTCATGGAAAGCATTTAGCATTGTGCTTTCATGTCATGGGAACTCAATAAATATTTGTGGAATAAATGAATGAATAGTAAGTTCACAGTAAAAATTGGCTATTATTAACCCATTCATTATCTCTGATGGAATGGGAAGAGAAGGTATATCCGTGAGGGCTTCCTGGAGGTGGTGATACTTGAACTAAATTGGACTGACTGTCTTGAAAAACTTTGTGTGTATTACATGGACAAGAAAAGTTTTTTGAGCAGGAATAATAGATACAAAACAAACAAAGAAACAAACACATAGCACCCTGGTGCCTGTGTGGAACTGCACAGGGTCCTAAATGCCTAGCACATTGGTCCCTGAGGGCAGATTCATCAGGCGTATGCCCTGGAGAGGCAGTGGTGCCTGGTCACAGAGATGGGCCTTGAGATCTCCACTGAGCATGTAGCATGGAGTCACTGCCACCTCTGCCACTCTCCAGAGGTGAGCCTTAATGGTCAAGAAAACCTGGATTTCAGTTTCTGTTTCTAAAATAACTGGTTTTCTCTATATGAACACCAAAATCTCTTCAAGTATTAATATTCTGTGATAGTGTCAACTGACACCCACTAATTGATAGAAAAAAAGATTTATACTTTAGAGCCAGACACTCCTAAATATGAACTTACTAGCTTTGTGTGACCTCATTTGTTTCACCTCTCTAAGCCTCATTTTTTCTCTATTTAAAACCTGGGATAATAAAGTCATGTTGCAGAGAAAAGTAACAGGAATTGAAAGTATTTCTTATAAAGATCCCAGCATGGCACTTAGAGCACAATTATTCTGTAAAAGTTATTTATTATTACTAGGGATAGCAGAATTTTGTTTTTTTTTTCACCAAAGAAATTAACATACAGCCAGTTGATCATCAGTATTATGTTCTTTGATTAGAATTTTTAGTTTGCTCACTGCCTTGTTTGATGTCTTCCTTATAATGATGAAGGTTAAGCTAGGCAAGTGTCCAGAAACATTTGGCATCATACCGTATGATGCTGATGTTGGGGTGACATTTTGTCCTTCAGGGTTCTCAGAGGTTTACAACTGTGCACACTTTAAAAATGGGAAATAGAATTGTATTGATCAAGTAGCATTCCCATGTACTTGTATTCAGTGGTAAGGGGATATTCGAGGGTTTTTCCAGCAACATCCTGAGAAAATAACTGCATTCGAAGTATTTAGCCAAACTCTGTAAATCTCTAACAGTCCCTTTGCAGCAACTTCAGAAACAGCAGTTAGTAGCAACTTGAGTGCCGAGGACTTTTAGTGGAAGGAGAGAGTTGCCTTAGGCTGAAATCGCAAGCTCAGTGTATGCCCAGACAGAAAAGCAGAAGCTTGTTTTAACTCCCTGCCTCCTTTAACTGATTTATTCCAGAATGAGATCTCCTTTCCATAGAAAGGAAATTCTT